ACTCCGACCCTCTCTACCTCAAACCTAGCAGCCTGAGCGGCCGTGCATTTCCGTAACCGTCCGCTCCCGTTCGTGTATCCAGATGCGTTTGCTGATTTTACGCGACCCCAAAGATCAGCACCTGCGGTTGCGTTTCTCGATTTTACGCGTCCCCAAAGATCGACAGGATCCGTTAAGCTACAGCCTCGTCCGATAGGTTCCGTCAGAGCTCTCGTTCTTGGTGGAGTTGGGCCTGTTCCACCCCAACTCCCAGTTCATACCGGCTCGTCAGTTCCCGGTGAAAAAAGAATTGGCTGGCGGCCGCCTGGCTTGATCCAGATGCGTTTGCTGATTTTACGCGACCCCAAAGATCAGCACCTGCGGTTGCGTTTCTCGATTTTACGCGTCCCCAAAGATCGACAGGATCCGTTAAGCTACAGCCTCGTCCGATAGGTTCCGTCAGAGCTCTCGTTCTTGGTGGAGTTGGGCCTGTTCCACCCCAACTCCCAGTTTATACCGGCTCGTCAGTTCCCGGTGAAAAAAGAATTGGCTGGCGTCCGCCTGGCCTGCGGATGCACGAACGACGGGTGGCCGGCCGAAGGTAACGTAGGTTGCTTCTCGAAGATAGTCGTTCTCGTATGCTTTGCTATCGGTGTCGGGTGATAAGTTAAAGAATTACGTTACAAACATAATACAACGGCTGTACGAGGTATATGATAGTATACCACACGAATATACCTCGACCGTCGGCAAGAAGCACTCTTCCTCCCATAACGGAATCATAAAACGAGCTTTCGCTTCTCTAGATAATCGAGTGCTTTTCAGAATGCTTGCGAGGCTCTAAGCTACGAACGCAGAATCATAATGCGAAGAGTAGCTGATCCGTAAAGCCGAATTATTAGCCGTAACGTAGCTTTCTCCTAAGGTTTCAACGAGACTAGGATTTTTATTCGAGCGGCGTACGTCGCGCAAAGTCGTCTAGGACAACGGAGGATCGTCCAGAGATTTCCGGGGCTGTTCCAATCGTTGAACTCTTCCTTCTGCTCCGCTTCTCTCTCTCTCTCTCTCTCTCTCTCTCTCTCTCTCTCTCTCTCTCTCTCTCTCTCTCACATCTTACCCTGCAACAAACCCGTTGCATCGTCTTGGCGAATAAAGTATATTTATCCTCATCGCGGAGCGTGGAATTTCCTTAAGAAAAGGTGGATTCCCGCAGACAGTGCTGCTTGCTTCCTAGTATTTGGCATCCGAATTGAGAACATCAAAGATCCTGGACTATCGAGGACTTTGCCACGCCATTTCCATTTCACCCTTCACTCAGGAATTAATGGCTCCATCAGTTCAGACTGCCAGGGACTCGTTCTTCTAGCAACTCCTAGCAACTCCTAGCAACAGACATTCTCGCATCATCGCTCTTTTTTATAGGAGCCGAGTTCTGCCGCCCTGCTGTTGCGATTTGCAAATGGCAAATGGCAAATGGCAAATGGCAAGTAGCGTATCGATCGAAGATCGAATGCGCTCAGATGCGACATTAAATGAAATTGTCCACTGCACTCGAGCCATGTCCTCAGCTTCCCTTACCGTAACTCATCTGCCAGGGCCGAGTCGACATCAGCTGATTTGGCTTTGGCATCGGATCAAGAAGAATAGTTGCGTAACTGAAAGGCTAGAAACGGGCGCACAGGAATGAGCACCTCTCAATTCAAAGCAAGGATGTTGCTCGAGGACAATGCTGTCTGGCTGTTAACATCTCGCCAGCCCTCTTGAAAGTCCCCTTCTGGGTACTTTCCTCTATATTCTAACCTAACCCCAGAAGCAGAAGCCTTCTCTCGTCGACCGGCGACCGTCGACCGTCGACCTCCGTCACCCTTGCATCTTGACATCGACTCGACTCGACTGGAGTTCAGGAGTTAGCGCGCGCGATACACAAAGCTGCCTCGCGATGCCATCGGACGCTTCATTATGGGTCCTAAGGACTTCACCATATTCTGGCAATCAAGAATGCAATAGGCTACGTATCGTCCATTGCTAGTAGCTCGTCTTCGCCATGTGCTCCCTTGAGATTAAGAGACGGTCATTAGGATCGTAGAGCTCGATCTCTGGGAGGTTAGATGCTGCGCATGTAGAACGTTCTATATGTTACCACGTGATGACAATCAGCACAGGATTTGCACAGGATTTGCACAGGATTTGCACAGGATTTGCACAGGATGGAAGGACGCCTGCGTGTCCGTGATGTGTCCATGGACACATCTTGCGCCTGTCTCAGCTTCAAGTGGACGAAGGGTCCAAGTCGCACGTCCAAAATGTCCAAGTGCTCGGCTAAGTGCGCCGTGCACCGGCCGGACGCCATTGTCGCGAAGAACTCTTTGTCGGAGAGTTCGTCACGAGGATGGGTGGTGGTGGGTGGTGGTGGGTGGAGGAGGAGGAGGAGGGAGAAAATTGCCCGCGGCCGAGTGCCCCTTCGACGCAAGTGCATAATGCCGAAGCGACGCGTCGCGACGGAGGCGCAAACATGGAAACGTGCGACGCGTCGCAGCAGCCTCCGGTCGGGTCCAAGTTTGCCCAAATTGATTGGAA